ATAACGGAGGCCGAATCATGTTTCTAGACCCTCTTTGATTCTGACAGGATGTGTGAACCATGCCCTGAGTACTTTTTATCGCGTGACGAGTTTCGGAACACATAGGAGGTGGGCCAGGCTTCAGGTAATTGTAGGGTTTCATGCGTTCTGTCGTGTCACCTTGGGGTAGAATTTAGTAGACCCCAGCTGCTAACCCTGCTTCAATTTTGATTGACTAAGGAGCAAAACGCAACGCCCTGAGGCAATGATGAACGGTCTATTGACAAGCTAGGAGTTGCTGATTCACCAGCTCAAGGGCAGTATCCGAACAAGCATTAGTCATTTGGTCTCAATAGTAACAGGATGAACGCGATTATCGTCCAATTAACGGATGTGGAGTCTGCAGAATATGCAGACTGTATCTCCTGAGTACGTGACCACTCTAAACGGCCACCAGGGTATAATTCAAGTGTCACGGTTCATCTACGCTATAAATCGTCAGCACAAATAGGGCTAGATATCTATTGCTGTAACTACCTCTAATACCAAGAAACTACCCCTACCAGATCTAAGGACACGACTTTCAGTTCAGAGGCATTGAGGAATTTGCCACGTAGATTATCTAGCCTAAAATATTATCAAAAAAGCAGAGATTTGAAGGTTTGAGGGCCGAGAATGGCGGGAAGTTGAAAGTATTTGCAACGGCAATAGGTGTACTGAGTCCGCACCCTTGAACAGTCCAGGGAATATGGAGCTTCTCGTCCGGAAATGCTGGTTGGGAGGTCTCACCAAGTGAATCAGCAGCGTGATCAGGTACGAAACCAACCTCGCCTCCAGGTTACCGATGTCGGAGGCACCATTTCAAGAGTCTACGGTAATCCTGTTATTATTGCCATTCCCTTTAGGAAGGGGGGATAACGTGTTGCCTTTAATGGGAGTTGTCATGCTACTCAGCCTAACACTCCCAACTCTCTCGACACTCTTGCCATAATCGATATGCTGGTGTAGACCGCGCAAAACGCAGCCTCGAGAATATTCATCTGGACCTCATACCAATCGTAGGCCTGCGAGCGTCTAACTTAGCTCTGGTGGTCACGACTAAGTTACCGGAAGTAGCAACGCAGAGAGTTGATGGCGTCCTGCACAATACACTGTGTGTGCTGGCGCAGGATCCGTCTTTTGCTGTTTACAGTGCGCATTCGACATTCTCTTCTAAACGTCTAGGAGACTTGCTTCGACGAGAACCGGCTTTTGGGTTCTTGAGGTATTTGTCCGCTATATACGCAACATATGAAAATCTAGCTGCATGCGGTGCAACAATCTGCTCAGCAATAGTCGACTATTTGTTTAAGAATGGATATACTCTTAAAGGTCGCGAGTCTGTTATACGATCAACGTAGCTTGACGCCCAATCCCATGCAAGAAATTAACTCCAATGAGCTGCAATCTGATTTAATCAACTTTTCTGATGATAAGAGGTGTAACCGAGGCCCAAGAGTTGAATCTTGGGCTTTGCTGAAGCCCGGCTGGGTCAATGATTAGCGCAGACGACTTCTAATCGGAAGGCAGTTGATGTCGCGCTCACAGTCTTTTTAGTGCTTCCCCGTTTTGAATTTTCTTTTTGAAGAACACTCTAAGACTCATAAAATGAAGTGGTGTTGAGGGAGTGCGATGAACACGTAACGTAGGTACCACACCCCTGTTGGAGAACCTCTGTATCCAGTGCCTACCGTGGATGCATTAGGGAGGGGAGAGACATCCAGGATAAGCCACCAGGTACCGCCATTTCATGGATAAGTGACTTGCTTTCAACTACTGCACACGTCCTGACATTTCCCGTCACCTAAATCTATCCCCAGAAGGAGGTTGGGGCTGAGTACGTCGTACGTCACAGCGGGATCGAAGTGTCCATAGTAGGCGGCAAAGCCCAGTAATACTGATTCTTATGCTTCTTTTTACTAGTTAGGCTAGCCGGTGCTTTATATGTAGGTACAAGTTATTCCGTACTGGTCGGGGTAACCGGACGCCGAGAGCACTCAAAAGGTACACACATCTTAAGGCGGGATCTGGGCAAGTTATTGTCGCTGTCCCCCTCCACAATACACCGTGAGACTGGTCCTCTTAACACCAAACCATAGCATCAGAGGAGCTGGTCTCCAGAGTGAGGCCAGGCACTTGATAACTCACTACTAGCTCGAAATGATAAGGGTAGAGACTCGAGAAAAATGCGTCCCGGGCCTCCTGTAAGCAGTTGGCGAGGCCCGTATTCGTTCTTGCTATTCGCGGCCCTTTGGCCCTCAGTGGCCGTAGTCCCCGACCTCCGACCCGTGCTGATCGCCGTGCTCGTCCTGTTAGTCGTAGGCACCACCGCTGCCGCTAGGATGGCATATTCACTACCCCGCTCATGTTGAGAGGTGAGGCGAAATACTCGTCGCCCCTATCTCGTAGGCATTTTGTCTTCTGGATCATGTTTACAGTATTTTGGCGTCGGCCGGTCTTCTACTTGAGCATAGCCAATGTGCCTTGTTGGCGGTATTCAGTTTTCTATTACAATGCCAAGAGGATGCCTTCGATCAACCCATAATGCGACTCTTGCTTAGGAGCGTCTTCATGCCTCAGGCGTGTAGGAATAGAGCGCAGCGACAAGCTGTAGCCCTTAGCAATTATAGTTTGTAGAATTGAAACATTAAACTAGTAGTGGGAAAACGTGGAAGTGAAGCAAGCTTTGCGAGACTGGTATCTCAGTATAATACTTGAGTTGTATACAAGCCGCAACCCCCTCTTCATGACCTTACAGGGATTACCCGAGGTTCCGAGCTGGCGCGAAATAAAGCTTTGTAGACAGGCCATTTACGGGCTTCGCCGTGGATGCGCGCTGCTCATTAGCAACGACTTGATTGGTAAGGATACTACTGATCTAACAAGTATATGACGAAGCCGACTGACCCTGGTGATGCATTGACACGGACAGATGAGTACAGCTTTGAGCATCGTCAGGCTGTAGCACCGGGGCCGAAAGCCCGACCATATCGCCGCTAGTGCCAGCTGATGCTATTGCCAGCCAGCTTAGCCGTGACAAGTCGTATAAGGCAAGAGAGGAATTGAAATCATTATCGCGCCTTGCCACTAAAGAACTCTAGCCAGTTGATGGCTCGTTGACCACAAGATGGAAGCCCTACCCGTTTTCTTCAAGCTCAACCCAGCTTGGAGGGTTGACAGGGGTCTAATATGTTGAATTACGAATCTATAAAAAGCGCTTTCCATCATTTACTACACTGCTGGGGTGGTGGAAGTGAGCATTGCGGAAGATGCCATGATTAGGCACCTGCCTTATATTCCAGAACGCATACCATGGTGAGTACTGTGCCGCAGCCATGAGCCATATTCACTTGATGTGTAATGCTCGTGTACAGCGACACGGCTGCGCAGAGTTTCAACAAACTAAAGCCACTGCTGTACCTGAAGACAATATCTCGTGCGGCCGCATGCACGCCGGCGCTGCAGCAGCAGAGACGACCTGCTTCCGTGTTGGCCTTCAGGTCTGAAGACCGATACCCACCAGCGGCGATCAACTATATAAGGAGGTCTGATATCCCAAGAAACCAACCCCCCAACCTCACTTTTCAGGCTCCATCTTCCGGCTCGCCAACAAGTAGTTACAGACTACCTACACAAGATGAAGCTCCTCGCTATCCCCGCCGCCTTCGCTGCAGCCGCTCAGGCAGCCTCCCTTGCTTTCCTGAACGACATCCCGGTCGACGGCAACTACACGATCGGCACTGACTTCGTCCTGGAGTGGAAGGCCTACGACGCGACCCCGTCCGACACGTTCCAGCTGAGCGTTTCTGCCACGAACAACACCCCGAGCGGGTACATCCCTCCTTACTGGCCATGGCAACCCGGGCAATACACTTACGACTCTCTTGAGATCGTGCTCGATGGTGAGTCAACGGCTCCTGACGTGGCTCCTCAGTTCTTCGAACGATTGCTAACCATTGTGGTTTTGTGGGCAGACGCTGAGAAATACGTCGATGGAAGCTACACCTGGACTATCAAGCCCATAGATGAAAAGGGACTGTGGAAAGGCCAGGGGTTCTCCTACTCCTTCGCGGCACGCGTGCCTAACAGCTCCGATTTCCCCCGCTCGTTCCACATTGTGGATTGAGACTTGATCTGAGCTGCTGCGGCGCAGAAACCCGGCCGTGAAAGATCACGGGGGCCTTCAATCTCAGCGGGAAGAAAGATATAACGACTATCTGCCCATGGGCTTACTAGAAGGGCTTGTGTCAGGGGGGGGGGGGGGGGGGATGAAGAGCAATTTAGTGTCATGGAGGCAGAGTCTTGACCACCGGACTATTTACGTAGTCTTCGTATATATGTATAGTGTACTGGTAAAGTCAAAATATCTTCTCAGGACTTCGTACCTCTACGAACATCCCCGTCAGTCTCTGTACATCGCGGTAACACTATTACTACCGGCCATGGCCCGTCATATTCCAGTGGCCGCAACAACTACCTCGACACGCACAATCATTCTCCCCTTGAATCAAGGGAAATGAACAAGGTTTCTATGAATAGGTACTAAGAGCGACAGAAAGAATATGCCCATGTTTCACTCAAATCACGGAAAAAAGGCGCGGCGACCTATAAACGTGGGTGTGGGCTTCCGCATATAATGTGATCGGGGCAGTAGCTTCAGCGTGTGGATCGTAATGACTCAACTGAAGAGGCAGAAATGACTTTGATTCAATGAAAACCATTCTTTCGAGTGCGAGTTCCAGAGTTAGTTCCCCTTTTCACTTTTACTTACACCTTTCATTGGTTTATAGGCAGTATCCTCTGTGTGTATTACGTAATACAGATTGAGCCCATCACTATTATCTGGTCGTGCCTTCTCACCTACATACACCCTTGATATACAACAGCGTCAAAACGAAGCTGATAAGCTTCATCTGGGGCTGTAACTAATAAGTAAGAGGCAAAGGAATAGAAAAAATAAAAAAATATAATATATCTCAAGATGGACGAACGGGGATTTGAACCCCGGACCCTTCGCAAGCATTACGTCTGACAGAGTCAGCATGCAAAGCGAATATCATACCCCTAGACCATTCGCCCCGAATCAGAATGGATTGGACGATGATTTCAAAGCTACAAGACTCTCGAGCCCAACGCCCTGCACGGGATTTGGGGGTTGAACAGGCGCTCTTGAACTTGCAATCTATAGGAGGGTGTTTTTTTTCTGATTCGGCGGATAGCTAATGAACAGGATTTTCCCACGCAAAAACTGCTTTGTCTTGATGTATGTACACGAGAAGCATCTGTATGATGGGTGTGCTCCGTTAACCCGCTAGTTTGAGGGGTCTGTTCAATATCTACGCAAGCATGTACGGAGAGCAATGAGAGGCGGCCCAGCTCAGTCGAGAAAGATCACAGTCTCGCGTCACGCAACTACAATAAGGCTATTTGCAGCGGTATAGTCATGTTCCTGTCGAAGGCTATCGAACAGCGTCCCACCCACAATCCCCACGGGCTCTTGACAGGTTCCCGCCTCTCCTAGCGTCTATTCGACAACCTTGCGCGTGGCGAGATTGTACCGATCGCCGGCCCTCAGGAAGTAGAAGAGCTGGTTCTTGGGCGGGAGGTTCTTCTCGTCGCTGCCCTCGCGGGCCCAGAACCCGCCGTCGTAGAAGGCGCAGTAGGTCGCGCCGATAACGTGCGCGTCGTCGCCCTCGACCACGAGCGCCGTGTTCTCGTCGCACCCGAAGCCCAGCAGCTCCGGCCGCACCTTGAGGATGTCGAACATGTCGAAGATGCGCCCGCGCACCAGCACGTGCTGGTCGATGGCCACGCCCCGCAGGTACCCGAAGCCCACCGTGTGGTCGCCCACGAGGACCTGGTTCGTCGCCGTGTCGCCGCGCGCCAGGAAGCTGCCCTGGATGCTCGCGCCCGCCGAGCTGCCGCCGATGACCCCGCCCCGGTCCAGCACCGCCCGGAACGCCGCCTCCGTCTTGGTCCCCGCGTACGCGTCCACGAGGCGCCACTGCCGCCCGCCGCCGAACCACACCGCCGACGCGTTGCGCAGCGGCGCCACGAAGGCCTCCGTGTTCGCCACCTTGGGGTCGTACGTGTGCAGGACCGTGACGCTCGAGGCGCCGAGGCGCCGGAACGCCGCCGCGCCCGCCGCGTTCTGGTCGTAGGTTGGTGCCCCGTCCGCCGTGGGGATCACGACGATCGGGCCTCCCGCTGCCCGGGTGATCACCTCTTGGTAGATGGAGTCACTGAGGGTGCCGCCGCCCACGACTACCAGGGATCCCTTCACCGGGCCGACGATGGGGTCCTTGGCGCTTGCCGTCCTAGCCTGGGACATGAAGAGGAGGAGAGCAGAAATTGCAGGGGTTGTTGGGAAGCGCATGGTGGGCGTACAGGTTACTACGAGACGCTGTACGGATATAAAAAAAAAGCGTGGCTGCTGGCCGAAATACTTGGAAAAAATCAAGCCAGTTGCTTTTTATTGTCGCTTTTCAACCCCTCGTATGAGATAGGGGTATGATGGGCTCCACGGAAAAAAAGGACTTGGTGGAGATCTCACCTCGATTGTCGACGTCTTTCCGATGCGAGTTCAGTTCTTATGTACTCCTTATAAACACCATAATTGCAAATATCATAGATTATGCCAAATAGCATCATCGGCGCAGGGCGTAGTCCAGGAATGTGATAGGGTGGTAGCAACACCCCCGACTTCCTGGCAAGGCAGGTGGTGTTGAAGGGAGGCGGCATTGCTTGCCGTGCGTCTCGGCGTGGGTTCTTGTCGGGTTCAGATAGGCGGTTCAGGTGCCCACTGCTCCTCAAGCTCCCCAAAGCCGGTTGATTATATGCTTTTATGCGGATATTGCGTGATACTCTCGGTCTGGTTCTTGGCGATAGCGAGAGGGGTGGTGAGCTAACGCAGCGCGGTGACGTGACTTCAACCGGATAGTTATGTCTTTTGAGATACAAAGTACAAGTTATCAAAGATTTGCGAAAAGCAACAGTTTCTTGGTAGAACTTGGACTACATGATTGGAAAGCTTTGCACGAAGTCGCTATTCTCCCAATTAATTAATTTATTAGCATAACCATGCTCTCCGACTAGCTGTAGATCAGATCAAGCGAAAATAGAGCGCGGAGCACCCGTCGACGCTGTAGGCGCAAAGCTTTCCTATGAGTTCTTCAAACAATGCGACAATGTCGAATTAGAGTGTCTCAGTGGCTACAGGTGGCGGTATATAAATATGGTACCCTTTCTAGAGTGACTGATATCACCAGAGACCATAATCTCAAAGGTACCCCAATAGGGCAAGGTCGAGGTGCCCCAAGGTATCGTCTCAAGCTTTGATAAATGCTGTTTTGATGCAAAACTGCCCCTTAGCTTATAGGGCGGCGATGTATGTACACGAGGCTGGTTTTGCTCAATATGTGAGCAGCCGTTCTGGTGGTATATATAAACAGGGTCATTAGGCCAATGGCTTTCTTTACCGTTTCTTTCCTATGAAAGAACCTTCAAAGCCAGCTCGACCCTTGGACTTCTTGGCGCCCTTCTTCTTACCAGCCTTCCCGAGTATTTTTTCGTCTCGCCGCTTTCTAATGTTTTCTTCTCTCTTCTTTTGCCGGTCCTTGATGCCCTTCGCGACGCCTTCTTTCCTTGCTACCCACTCCTTGGTGCTCTTCTTCTTCGTGGTCTCCTTGCGTTTGACGGCCTTTTTGAGCAGCTTCTCGTCGTCTTTGATTTTTTCCCCTTCAGCTCGTCGTCTGGCAGTAAGCCAGGCCTCCTTTTCTTCGACATCCTTTCGTTTGTCCTCGTCCATTGAGTCCAGCCGTTTCTTCTGGTTCTCAAACTTGAGAAGGGCCGTCTTAGGGTCAGACGGTCCCTTCTTTGGAGTTCTATTGAGAACATGAGTAAGGTCGTGAGAGAGCTGGGAACCATCGCCAAACCCAACACGACCAAACGCAAAGTTGTGTTCTTCCAGGTCAATGTTAGGGCTGAGAATGCCCAGCGGAGATTCCCGTGCCGACGCCAGCGCTTCCTCGCGCTTCCGCTCCTCTTCCTGCTTAGCCTGTCGCCTTAGCTCCTTCTTATGGGCTTTGCGCTCTGCTTGCTTTTGACGACGAGACTCTAACAATTCTTCCCGGGTACGAATCGGTTTACCATCTCTGTCGGCTTTCCGGGCATCTCGAAGCGCCTGGATCCTTGCGGCTAGACGGGCACGCAGCGCAGCACTATCCGCGGGTATTTTTATATGCTTAGGCTTTTCAGACGCTGGGTCGGCAGAGGAAACAGAAGTTGTTACACTAGGGGCTTGCCCCGTGGAATCTGCGGGAGTCCCGTTCGTATCGAAAACGGGAGACTGGGGGGTATCGGTAGGGGATGCTATGAATTCAGAGTCGTGAGCGCCCGCAGCATCTGCAGGAGGTCCCGAGTTCTTAACAGCATCTGTATGCAACTCAGTCGCGTCTTGTCCAGCGGCCTCAGCAGATACCTTCGCGGAGTCGGGCTGTGGCGGGTCGCCGTTCGATAGCGTGTTTGATCTGTCTTCTCGCTTTCCCAGTTTGATCTTGTTGACACCCTTGACGGTTCTCCTGTTAAACTCGGCCTCCTCGTCACGCAAACGTTGTCGTTCGGCCTTGCGTTCTTTCCGGGCAGCCTTCTTCTCCTCTTTTCGCTGTTCCTCCTCGTCTAACTCAGCTTCCTCGGCTTCTTGCTTCTGTTTCTTCTTGGCTTCTTTGGCGGTCTTCTTCCTCATGCCTTGGCGGGGCGTTTCGGGGGCGATGCCCTCGATTTCCGACCAGTCGTCATCGTCGCCATCTTGCAGCTGGTCGTGTTTCCGCTTCTTCCTTGCTGCCTGCTCATCCATAACCTCCTTGGCACTTCGGTTTAATGCGCTGTCTGGATCGAGCTTATTCCGCCTCGCCTCAGCAGCTTGTGCCTTGGTCTGCTTTTTCCGCTGCCACTGGTCCTGTAGAGGGGGGGTGGCGTAAGCGGTTGGTCCATGGTGACAGCGGCACGAGGGCAGCCTCAGGCAATGATAGTGTATAAGGAGCGGCAGATGTGTGCTCGCAGGAGAGCGGTGGGAGAGCTGGGAGAGAGGGGATTGTTGACGTACGCTCGCATCCTCGCCATAGTACATCTTGGCGGGTATGAGGGACAGCAAGCCATCAAAGGCCTTCTGAGAGTTGAGGAGACGCTCCTGCGGTTGGGACACGTTGGTTACTGGCGGCAGCAAAGTGGCAGGCTGCAGGAACAAACCTTGAGCGATGAATCCTCCATGGTCAAGCACAGCCGGTGCAGGTGCAGCTGCAGCACGATGCGATGGGGGTCGTGTACGGTGCGCAGTCGCCCGGCGAGCGACGGATAGAGGGTGCGAGGGTGCGTGCAGGATGCGAGGCGCGAGGCGCGAGGCGCGAGGTGCGATGCGCGAGGTGCGAGGTGCGAAATCGGCGTGGCCGTCGTGCAGATTATCGGTACGATAGAGACGATAGAGAAGCACGGTTTGGTTGTCGACAAGAAGGCGGGAAGAAAAGTTCGGGACCAGAGAGAGTTTCGAGTGGGGTGAGCCGGTGCATGGGAGACGGTTGATTGGGCGTGGATGGCGATTTTTGGCGGCCAGTGGTTTTTAGTGCGGAGCAGAGCGCTGCCGTGAGCTCTTGGCATTGCCTATCGGATTTCTGCCAGCAGATACGCGGGGGCCAGTCGGGCAGGCGGTGAAGCCCTGACAGGCACTACGAGGTAACTACAGGTAACCTGCCTGTAGCACTCCGTAAGTTGGCCCCGTTACAGACCCGGGACCCCTCCGAGCTGGGACCACGTATCAATTATTCATGAGAAGAAAGACGACGCGAATTAGGTGTTTAGTGACAGTCTAGAGCTGTTGTAAGCGATTCATTTGGCACCGATCCGCGGGGCAACAGATCATACATCATACATCCAAGCGACGGCTTTGACTTCGAGTTTGGGGTTAGAGTAACGTTATTTATTCGAAAGCTTTACCGCACCGCCACACTTTTCTTTCAAAAAGGGAAGGTGAAGCTTGAGAAGTAATACCGGACCCCCCAAAAACTCTATAAAACTGGGCTGGCCTC